GAAAATTATTCTAAAAACACTAAGTGAAAATATTGTAAATTGCAATGTTTGTAGTTTAAGTGGTTTGGAACAAATTGTTGCTTCAAACTGTTGAATAACCGAATACTTTCTTTAGCATTTTGATCTTTGGGTCACATCATATATACTGTAAACAAAGAAAATTGAATATAATATATTAATATTCAAAATTCTGGTTACATATCAAGTATCAATGCGGTGTGGGTACAAGTCTCTGAATGGTCCTCTGATTCTTCAATTGGATGCCTTGAACACTCCACCATTGAAGGGCCTCCGGGTTTCAAGTGGCTTAATCTTTAAAGAAGGGCTTGTATATATAGCTTAATCTTTAAAGAAGGGCTTGTATATATAGCTTGTTCTTCTTGAAGGGCCTCCGGTTCAAATGGATTGATCTTCAATGGAGGTTTGGATCAACAGGCATGATTGGATTGGAGGAGGGGCTTTACTTTCAGGATCACGTTTTTATGGTGATCCCTGAATAAGCTTAAGGCTAATGATGTTTCTATGATTTATTTTCCTACGATTTGTGATTACATAGAAATAAGATGTCATATTTATAGTTGTAGGATTGAAGAGTTTTGATAAACTCAAACTCATTTGATATTATCTAATTAACAAATTAGATAATATCAATATTATTCATAAATATATTCAAATATACTAATATTGATAAATAATCAATATTTATCAAAATTTAAGTGTCAACAAATGCCCCCTCGAGACTTGCTTGTACACCAAACCCTCGAAAGTATGTAGTGCAAGAAAGTCACGACACCACAACTTAAAGATATAAGTCCGTTTCAACTCGTGCCAAGGAGTCTTGAAAGATATGAGGCCGTTTCAACTCGTGCCAATGAGTATCTTGAAGGATATGAGGCCTTTTCAACTTGTGCCAAGGAGTATCATTTAGCCTCCTCCATTTCAAATTTCATATGTGGTTTGCCTCCATACCGGTTGAATGGTATGTGCCTATGAAAAGACGAGAGACAGAGCTGTCCCACTGGGCGTGCCCTTCCGTGGTGGAGTGTTACAACATGTAACCAGAATTTGCCAACATTTACCAATCATCCAATATCTTTGGGTGACATTATAATTAAATTTTTTAAATTTTTACTACATCTAAATTCCTTAAATTAGGAATTTCTTTATCCACAATAATTTATTCAACAATAATGGTTGAACTAAATGAACACTGAGCAAAACACCTAAAGGACTGGTACTGTTGATTCATTCATTTGATCTTGTATATATGTGCATTCATTAAATATATTAGAACCCTTTGCAACAAAAATACTTTGTTACTATATATTTTTAAAAAAAAAGTTTAGTAACAATTATAATGAATCTCCTATATTACAAATATATATTTTATTCATATACTATGAGTTACATATTTAAATAAACAAATTCGACATTAAATTACTTATGTATGAACTTCTTATATATAATCTTGCATTGATATACTTTCAAATATTTATTTAATTATAAACATTGGATAGAAAAAATGACCATCAAATTATTAAATCAAATGAATGGTTCAGATTGTTCATATTTTAATTTTTCTTGAGATTTTCTAATTTATCCTTAATTATATGATTATCCGTTAATTTTTTTGTTAAATACCCTTAATTCACCACTAGTCTAATTTTAATATTAAAGTCTAATATAGAATTATAACAACACCATTAATCTAATTTTAATATTAAAGTCTTAATAGAACTCTAACCACAAATCTACTGTCGGAATCTCCTCAAACAATATTAGTATATATTTAATATTTTATGCCCTAATTTTTATTTGCTCTCCCTGATGTCCCGTATTTGGTTTCAACCATACCCATACAATTATTTTATTGACAATTATAATTAATCTTGACTATATTATCTTGCATTTGTAAACTTTTTAGAAGTACCTATTTAAATACACAAATTCAACATTCAATTATCTATGCATGAACAATTCCAATATAATATTGCCTTGATATACTTTAAAGTACTTATTTAAAAAAAAAACATTGGGCATTATCCCAATCGCGCAATGCGCGTAAAAAACTAGGCTTGTGCGGGGGATTTATCCCTATATTGTGCTTGTGTTTAATGTCTAACGTGCGTGAGTTTTATGCTTAATGTGCGTCAGTGTCTACTCAGTGCGAGTTGTTGTGTGAGTTGTTAAAACTTTAAATTGCATTATTTGTGTGCTTAATGTGCGTGATTTTTGTGCTTAATGTGTGTGAGTCTTGTTCCTGAGATGTGTGAGTTTTGTTCTTAATTTACTTGAGTGTTTATTTAATGTGAATTGTTGTTAAAACTTAAGGTACATGTGTTTTTGTAGAAAGACACACCTATATTAATTGTACCATTTAAGTTTGCTTTTTTATTTATTTACTTATTAATTTTTTTTACTTCATATCTGGAAATTTTTGTAGGTGTGAATTTGTTTTTAAACATGGAGACAAACGTTTACTGATGATTGAGTTGAGGTCATTGAGGAAGGGTGAACATGTGGAAGCTGGTGTTTTGGACACTTGGGCTTTAATTCTAAATAACATGGAGATCTACACCTTTAAGTATCCTAACAAAAGAAGATTCATTTTCTCAACAACACCAGTTGTAAGTTATTTTATTATTGATTTACGATTTCATGCACATTAACAAATGTCTTGGAGCGCACTCACACACATATATATATGAAAAATAAACACCCCAAGAATCAAAGTGAAGCTACTTTTAATGAGAGACGACAAATCCAAGTAAATATTAAAAGATGAATTTTTAAAAAGTTAGAAGATAATACGTTGTAACATTTTATTTATATATTTATTTTTCTTGGTTTAGAAACACGAAAATAATGAGAAATCAGCCGCAAGTAACATGCAATTGAGATAAATTTTGTAATTTGCAATTACACAAATCTCCCTCTCGTGACTAACAATTTCTTTTTCACGGCAATATTTCTCCGACTTTTGGCTGAATTGGACGGACTACAATCTTCCAACGTGGTTACTTCTCACCATCTCACTTTATATGTTATACATTAAAAAAATGTTCTTTAAAAAAAAAAAGTTTGTGAGAGTTTAAGCATGATTCTCATACCAAAAGGTTACAAGGCAAATGATTACTATCAACATCTTTTCAGTCGAGTCCGTCGCAGATGTCATAAATTGATTTTGAATTCAGTATATATGTAAGATTTAATATTCAAATTTATTTTTGGATAAAAACATAACTAAAAATATATAAACCAATAACATATTAAGTTTACTTAACATTTATTGGATGCCATAAACTGATTGTCCCACTATTAATTGAAAAAAAAATTATTAACCAATTGACTAATGTCACATTATGATATACGAATTGGAAGATAAAAAATAAAAGGTGTATGTAGTATTCACTTATCTGTTCCCTACTCGATCTAGTCTTATTTGCTTCATGAAACTGAGAATCACAAGACTATTTTGAGATTATTAATAAAATTTTAAATATTTCATTTTTACTTACTATATATTACACTCTATTTAGAATCTATACGGTTGATATATATTATTTTATAACATAAGTAAAATTTATAAAATAATAGTTTTACAATTAAATAAGTCTTAAACAGAAGAAGTCAATGAAAGATTGGGGAAAATAATTATAGGTTATGTTTGGTTCGAACATGAGAATAGAAATTCAAATTGAAATAAGAATCAAATACTTAGTATAATTAGAATAAGTTTTGATAATGTATTTTACATCTTTGGTAGTATGGTGAAATTAAAATGATTGTTAATATTGATGTTTGGTTATGTATGACTCTATATTGATCTTACGTGTGACGAAGTGAAGAGGTGATGAAATGAAGAGAGTTAAGACTGAATTAATGTAATGATACCTGATTTAAATTAGGTAATTAGTTTTGTAATTATAAAGTAATCAAATCCTACATCTGTATTTTCAAAAAGTTGTCAACCAAACAATGTGTATGACTTTCATTCTCATACCTTGTGTCTAACCCTATAAACCATACACACCCTTAGTTGTATGAAATTATATAAGCAGTATACATGGAAGACTAATGTAAGATTGTGAGGAAATATGGAAAAACATATAAGCAGTATACATGGAAGACTAATGTAAGATTGTGAGGAAATATGGAAAAACACCTAACATTACAACTAAGTAATCAAAACTTAACCTCTTACTAGGAGAAGCATATTGTGAAAAACAAATGATCAAATTCAAATCTATACAATATATCATCTAGACTACAACTTTGAAATAAGCTGTTTACAATTTACAACTTGTAAGTTGTAACCCAGACTTGCCATAGTGGTAAGGCATGAAGATATCATTGGCTTTATAAATTACTCACTGTCCCATTAATTTTCATGTTAATATTTATTGCTTAAATTGACATTTTCTATTTTTAAAATAATTTTTAATAATTTTTGGATTTGACTTAAAAAACAAAATTATTAGAAAATGTAATTTTTAAGAATATATATATATATATATATATATATATATATATATATATATATATATATATATATATATATATATATATATATATATATATATATAGTATACTAGTATTAACTTAAATAAATGAAAAATAGAATTAAAAATAATTTTACATTTGAATATTATTATTTTAATGGTTTATGACAATTATTATACAAATACTAAAGTTTTACTCTAAAAGATGACTTAATTTTAATTTTGATTTCTTCACTTTTGTCTTTTTAAGCTTAAAATTGATTTTTTTACTAACTTTAGAACTAAATCTAGTTAATTTGAGAGTTTGAATCCTTCTTATATGAAAAAATTAATTTAACCCGTATAAAAAAATTAATTTGACATGATAAAAATGAAGATTAATTTAAATATATTACATGCTTAAAGGTATATCTCTTATAAATAGGATTTACTCAAGACATTGCAAGGTCTAACCAAAAAATTAAAATTATTGTGCCAAACCATTAATTGAAATTAAAATTTATTTAGATTAGATGGGTCAAATTCGGGTAAAGATGGGTCCCGGCCCGACCCACTTAATAATCACCGCCTTCACCGGACAGCCTATAAATATATGATGATTCCGCCTCCACTTTATCTCCAAATTTCGCTCCGCTAATTTTGGAATCGTTCGCGTAATTCTGAGGCTATTCCGTAAACCCTGTTTTCGCTCGTTGCTCTGTTTCTTCGGATTGTACCAATCTGAACTTGCTGTAGTCAGTTTACTGCCGAGCTGTACAAGCATCTCAGGTTCGCTATTCGAGTTCTTTAGCTTTTAGAGTTTGCAATTCCACCGATGGGATCGGAAGCAATGGATGCGAGTATTGGGCCACATTCCAACTGCAAGTTTTCAACTTTAGGGTTTAATGTTGGGTTGTGCATATTTTGGGTATTCTTTGATTGGATTGATAAGATGATCCAGACCGCTACGGAAAATCGGAATTGTTTAGGGTTGTACAAAAGGTTAATGAATTTGAACCTTTTTTCTTCCTTGAATGCAATCGTCAATTGAGATCCAATAATTGTTCGATCATTAGTAAAACTTGCGATCGGAGACGGCCCTACTTGATAAGATATTGCGTGTACATATTGGAATTTGGTATTCATCAGACAAAACTGCTAAATTGGTCATTCTATATTGGGTTTATTTGAATTGGTTGAATTTTAAACCCATGCTTTGAGAAGTAAACACGTTGATAATAGGTTAATAAAAAGTAATAAATTTTAGCAAAATTTTATTCAAAATATAATATATTATTATTTTTACGATATACCATCTTACCATTTTGATCAAATTACTGAGGCTTAATATAAAATTTTAGGCAAATTATTATGTGGACCGTGTGTGGACCACGGTTCAAAACTACACTTTTTTAACTCCATGCGTATGCTAGAAGAATGAATATACCGGGGTAAGATAATGTATTTTATGAGATAAAATAATGTACTTTATGTGTTAGAATAAAGTAAATTATGTGTGTGAGAATAATGAAATTTTTAAGGTAAGATGATGTATTTTATTAGTTAGAATAATGTATTTTATTGATGGGCAAAATGGTTGAACTATCTCAATAATTTGTGATGTAACCTGTTAATATTAACCCATAATTGATTAAATTTTTTAACAGCCCATTTGCCACTGATTTGGTTCACTTCCCAATTACTAATTTACTATGTTGAATTCATATCCACATTTGGACTGAATTGTTCTAGGATTTGCATACTGCTATCATTTAAAACTTGGACTTCATAACTATGTTCTACTTCACATGTTTTAAGTTTTAGTTTTTCATCCACTTTTATGTTTTTAGGTGTCTTATGTGAGATGCTAATACTGTTGTTGGCTTTTGTATTTGCAGATCAGAAATTTGGGGAAACAATTGTCATATTTGCCAATCTTCTACATTGAAAATTATTTGCTATGGCTGTGAAAACAGTTGTTAAAACAGTACACACTGTTTCAAAAAGACCAGAGGCATCAGTTTTTAACCGACTCAGAGTAGGTGGCCGTGTATACAACAAGGTGTGTATATATTGGCTTCAAGGGAGATGCAATAGGAATCCCTGTCAGTTTCTGCATTCAGAATCATCATTGCAGCAACCGAGGCAGACCCTTTCAACCATATATGATGATGATAGGCATTATGTTCGACCCGAAACTTCTCAGAGGAACTCAAGCTACATGAGCCCAAAGACTGGAACTAATTTGACAAATGGAATTGTTGATTCTGGAAGCAAAACAGGACCAGTGACCAAAAAAACAGTTTCAATTTCCAGAGGATCTGGATCTAAGGGCAAAGTTGCTCAGAAGCCTCAAATAAAGCTATGCCAGTACTGGGTTACTAACCATTGTGTTCATGGAGACAAGTGTAAGGACGTGCATGCATGGTCATTTGGTGATGGGTTTTCGATGTTGGCAAAGTTAGAAGGTCATACCAAGGTACTTATCAAAATTGTTGTCAGGTTTTCGTTTTAATGCTGAAGATTTCGTATCACAGCTTAATGTTTTATTTTTATTTTTTAAATTTAGGCCGTTACTGGAATTGCTCTTCCCTCTGGTTCCAACCAGCTCTTTTCAAGTAGCAATGACAAATCTGTACGGGTTTGGGACTGCCACAGTGGTCAGGTTTGTATTGTTTTTAGTTTAGAACTTGTGGTAGACCATCATAGTTTCACACTTTTCCATGGGAATAATTATGATATTAAGGTAATTCTCCTTCTCATGCAGTGTGGTGCTGTAATTAAGTTTGACAAAGAAGTAGGATGCTTAGTTGGTGAAGGTCCATGGGTATTTGTGGGATTGCCCGATGTTGTTAAGGTAGTATTTCTTTTGCCGTTTAAGCTTTCTTGTTTTCCCTTCCAAGTGCATTTTACTCTTTTCTTCGGTCCACATTAATGCTTTCTACATTGTAAATGGTTTCCTTGTTTTAGGTCTGGAACATTCACACTCAAATAGAGTTTAACCTTAATGGACCAACTGGGCAAGTTTATGCAATGACTGTCGGCAATGATAAACTTTTTGCTGGAACAGAGGTAGTTACTGCTGTTAGAATGCTTTATTTTTACTGGCTTTCACATTTTCAATCTAACATGTTAAACCTGCTCGTATAACTCAGTTTAACACTTTTGCGTCTTTTGCCCACAGAATGGTACCATATTGGCATGGAAGTTCACTTCTGAAGTAAATAGTCCAGAGCTTGTTTCGTCATTGGAGGGTCACACCCAGGCTGTGCTTTCACTTGTTGTCGGTGCTAATAGGCTGTACTCGGGTTCCATGGATAATACGATCAGAGTATGATTTTCTTTCCACAATATTTGATTTGTTCTAGTCATATGATTAATCAACCGTTTTGTTTTATCTAATGATGCAACACCTTGAATCACATTTACTTTTTATTCATAGGATGGTGCTTTCTCTTGTATACTGTTTATCTCGTTTTGATTCTTTCCTGACTGAGAATCTTTTCGTGAATAATGTTCTGTTGCAGATGTGGGATCTGGAAAGTTTGCAGTGCTTACAGACACTAAATGGGCATGCTGATGTTGTCATGTCTGTCCTTTGCTGGGACAACTTCTTGTTATCTGGTTCCTTGGACAACACTATAAAGGTTTAAACTACTTCGTTGTCACTTTGATGGCTTTCACTCTGAAAAAACTCCAGTTTGTAATCTTTTGTTTTTTCACTCATTTCCTTCAGGTGTGGGCTGCAACTGAAAATGGGAGCTTAGAAGTATTTTATGAACATAAAGAGGAAACTGTAAGTTACTGTTTTTCCTTCCCTAAGGTTAATGGATTTGTTAACACTGTCATCTCTAATCTTGTAGGTTAACCGTATTGTTCTCCACTTCTTCAGGGTGTACTAGCTCTTTGTGGGATATGTGATGCTGAAGCTAAACCGATATTGCTTTGCTCCTGCAATGACAATACTATCCGCTTATATGACCTGCCATCGTAAGTGTTTAGTGTCCATATATTTCTTCGTTCTGTTGAAAGCTTCACTTTCTTTCTCATCCTAGTTGCTGATTCTCTGGATGTGGTAGGTTTTCTGAAAGGGGCAGACTATTCGCGAAGAGGGAAGTTAGATCGGTTGAAATAGGGACCGGAGGACTGTTCTTTACCGGTGATGCAACTGGAGAAGTTTCTGTTTGGAAATTGCAGGGAGAAGCCATTGGCATGGCTCCTCAAGCAAGTTGATGCAACTGGAAACACCATTTCTTGGTCAGACAGACCAAATGCTATTTGCACAAAGTTCAGCTGACATCTAGTTTAGCCTAACTATCAGAGGAAGAAAGGCTGTTGAATATTTTTTAAGGGACAGAGAGCCAACAGCCAGACTGCATTTTCTTCTCTGGCAATTTTGTATTCTTGTGTAAAGAAATGATATCTTCATGCCTTACCACTATGGCAAGTCTGGGTTACAACTTACAAGTTGTAAATTGTAAACAGCTTATTTCAAAGTTGTAGTCTAGATGATATATTGTATAGATTTGAATTTGATCATTTGTTTTTCACAATATGCTTCTCCTAGTAAGAGGTTAAGTTTTGATTACTTAGTTGTAATGTTAGGTGTTTTTCCATATTTCCTCACAATCTTACATTAGTCTTCCATGTATACTGCTTATATAATTTCATACAACTAAGGGTGTGTATGGTTTATAGGGTTAGACACAAGGAATGAGAATGAAAGTCATACACATTGTTTGGTTGACAACTTTTTGAAAATACAGATATTGTAACGTTTTCCTTATGTATTATCATTATTATTATTATTAAGTTTATTATATAATAACAATAATATTTAAGTGGTGCAAATCAATAGGCTGACTAAGTCAGCATTAGGTAATTAGTTACCTACATTGATGGGATGTAGGTTATTTAGACTCCCAAGTCCTCTCACTGCTCGGTTGACGTATCATACATCATCTAAAGTCACTGAGAGAAGTGAGAGAAACATAACTAAAACCTACAGAGATTTTACAGCAGCCCGAGGAACCTGCTAAAACCTACAGAGATTTTACAGCAGCCCGAGGAACCTGCTCATCAGACCACGAGTCCCTGGTGATCAAGATCTAAAGCTATGGCTGGAGGTTGGTAATCTAAACTCTATTTTAATAGCCACGTATCTATTAATTGTTACGTGGATTGTGTGCTTACATTTGGTATCCGAGCCAATTTTATCTCTGCCTAGCCTTGATTCAATTGCATAATACAGTCATTTACATATGCTATACTTTCTTTGTATAATTTAGAATACATATGTAATGTGCAATTCTGTTGGGCTGCTGGAAATATTGTGTAATTTTTTTTCCGCATTTAGTTAAAAAAAAAAAAAAAATTCCAGATTTGTTTTTCCCGTACTGCTCTGCGTTTTTTTTCCTTCGCCTTTTTTTTCCCGTTCGCCGGCAAGGGGAGTGCTCGCCGAATTCCGTTGGCCGGCGATGCACGCCCCTCCGGTGGCGCTGGCTGACTCCCGCCAAGGACGGCGGTGGTGGCGGCACTGGGTTGCTCCCGATAGTGTCGACACCAACTGCCTCCTTCAATGGCGCGGAGGTGGCCGGCGGCGGAGACACGGACATGGCGTGGCGGCGGTGGCGAGTGGTCTGGCGGTGGTGGTGGAGTCGGGTCCTCCCGGCTTCTCCGCCACTGCTTCTCCGTCTCGGCGTCGATTTGGTTCTCTGTATCCTCTGTTCATGTCGCGCAGCGCAGATGAAGAAGATGATGAGATTTTGTATTTTGGGCCGGGTCTGGCCCAATTCGGCCAGACCTAGGCTCCAAAAAAAAAAAAAAAAAAAAAATTGGCTTTGGGCTTGCCAGAAATTTGGGCCTAAAAATTTTTTTTTGGGCTTGCTGAATTTTTTTTTTTTTCTTCTCTTCCTTTTCTCTCTTCATCATATTTAGCTTCTTCTTATGGGTTTTATTCAAATTTTTTTTTTCTAAAGTTGATATTAAATTATAATTCCTTTGAACAAATTATTCTGTCTCAATTTGTTTGAATTTTAATTTAATATTGAATTTCAGTTTAAATTGTATTCAGTATTACAATTTAATTGTGGAGCATGAGTTATAATGTGCATAATCTGAGCATGTATTACTGTTTATTGCATTAATTTGATTGTTATAATTATGCATATGTTAGATAAGCATGTTCTTTAAGTATGAATCTAGTGCCTTTAAGTCTGAATTATATGCCTATTACGCATGTTATAGTGCCTTTAGGTGAATTTAGTGCATTTTAAGGATAGATTAAGCATGTTAGTTTACTCATTCAGTTATTGCTCCGCTCGTGTCTTTCTAAAGCTATAAAGCACATAAAGTAAATCAAAGTTCTAGTTTACCCAAATTTAAAGCCTTATCCACAGGTTTATAACCATATTATAGATCTTTCAAACAATTTTACTTCAAATATGAGAATACATGACTTAGGGAAGTTTCTTGGGGAGGTATACTAGTTCTATGGCCCTGGCTTAAAGGCCTTGTTGCTACTAGTCCCCTTGCAACGCTACTCTGTCTAAGGAGTTGGTATTTAACCGAGCTTCGTCTCGACCAACTTTCCTGGGAGTATACCTAAAGATTGTCTATCATGTTTTGGTTTAATCTGTTTGCTAGGCTTTAAATTACCATTTGCCAAGTGATTACAATTTTGTGATTAAAGAGTAGCCACAGCATCTTTAATTGCTTAAATTGTATTTAGATTCACTCACATAAAGAGTTGGCAATATCCTTGTAGTTAATTCTATATGATATGGCAAAATTTAGCCCACAGGCAATTTTGTTGTATTTGTAGGATTGATTAGGACGAAATGCCAGGCTATGATCATAATTTGCCCACAGGGATTATGTATCGGCATATAGTTTTGGTAGTTTTGTCATCAAGGGTGGAAACACCCAAACCGTACCCATTCTGGTTTTCACCATTCAGTTTGGTAAATTCATTATGCGTAAAAATTCAGCCCACAGGCAATTTTTATGGCATTTGAATTTATCTTTTGCATAAGTTTGCATTGGCAAAATATGCACTTTAGTTCTTTTGTGCCTCGAAAATCAAAACTAACAAACTCATAATTTCCTTTCAGAAACTATCCCAATTGTCTCACACGTTCAGGTCCCAATGCTTACTCCTAATAATTATAGAGAGTGGAATGATGCGCTCCTGATCTACTTTGGCATGAATGAGATGGACTATGCTATTAACCATCCCGCGCCTCCGGCTATAACCGCGACGAGCGCTCAAGAAGCCAAAGACATTTGGGCTAAATGGGAACGGCACAATCGCCTGTGCATGTTTTTCATTAAGTCTCGGGTTTCGAGTGATATACGCCGCACGATTGATAAGCTTAAAACAGCTCAAGAGTGTATTGAGGCCATTGCCAAGAAGTTTGAAACTTCAGACAAATCCCTAGCAAGCACCTTAATAATGCAGTTCACCTCCCTTCGTTATTCTCCTGCCGATGGTGTGCGCAGTCACATCATGCAACTTAGTGATATTGCAGCTCAACTAGACAAGTTGGAGATCAAGCTGCCAGACTCATTTGTGGTGCATTTTGCACTAAACACTCTCCCTCCTGAGTATAGCACCTTCAAAATTGCATATAACACACATGACAAGAAATGGACCATTAATGATCTAATTAATAAGTGTGTGCAAGAAGAAGGGAGACTACGTCAGGAACAAAAGGGGGAGAGTGTCATGCTTGCAGTAGCAAAGCATAAAGGGAGATCTGGCAAGCGCCACACTGCAGCTAAAGGGAAAGCAAAATTATCCCCTTAGACTGACATTAAGAAAGCACAGAAATGCTTCTTTTGTAAGAAGAAGGGGCATATGAAGAAGGACTGTGCAAAGTTTAAGAAGTGGATGTCTGAGAAAGGTATGATCTCTTCCTTTGTCTGTTTTGAATCCAATATGTCAGATGTTAATGCTAACACTTGGTGGATTGATTCTGGTTCAACAATCCACATTGCAAATTCTTTACAGGATATGCAAAATCTGAGACAACCGATGTCAAATGAGCGAAACATCTTCTCCGGAAATAAGATGGGCTCGCCGGTTGAAGCTGTAGGGACTTGCAGGCTGATTTTAGACAGTGGTTTCGTTTTGAATTTAGAGAGGACATTTTACGTACCAACTTTTTCACGAAATTTGGTTTCTGTCTCAAGACTTGTACCGTTTGGATTCAATTTTATTTTTTCAGACAAGTATTTTAAATTATTTGATAATTCTACTTGTATTGGAAATGGTACACTGTCTGATGGTCTTTATCGTCTTCACTTACAAAACGATGCAAGTTATGATTCCTTACATGTTCAAACTGGCACCAAACGGTGTAGTGTTAACGATAAATCTTCAATGTTGTGGCACCGGAGATTGGGACACATCTCCCTTGATCGCATTAAAAGGTTGGTAAAGGATGGAGTACTTTCTACTCTAGACTATACTGACTTTGAGACTTGTATAGACTGCATTAAAGGCAAGCAGACTAACAAGTCGAAGAAAGGTGCCAATAGAAGTTCAACATTATTAGAGATAATTCATACTGACATATGCTGTCCAGATATGGATATGCAGGGTCAGAAATATTTCATTACCTTTATAGATGACTTCTCTAGATTTACCTATGTGTATTTACTTCATCATAAGTATGAAGCATTGGATGCCTTTAAAACCTTTAAGGCTGAAGTTGAAAACCAATGCAAGAAGAAAATACAAATAGTTAGGTCAGACAGAGGTGGTGAATATTATGGTAGATACACAGAAAATGGACAAGCTTTGGGTCCATTTGCTGAATTCCTTCAACAGCATGGGATTGTTGCCCAATACACCATGCCGGGTTCCCCGGATCAAAATGGTGTTGCTGAAAGAAGGAATCGGACTCTTTTGGACATGGTGCAGAGTATGCTGAGCAACTCCACACTTCCAAAATCATTATGGGCCGATGCTCTCAAGACGGCAACGTATATATTAAACCGGGTTCCGACCAAGGCTGTCCCCAAGACACCTTTTGAGCTTTTCAAAGGTTGGAAACCGAGTTTGCATCATATGCGTGTTTGGGGTTGTCCGTCTGAGGTGAGGATTTATAACCCACATGAAAAGAAACTTGACCCGAGGACGATAAGTGCTTTCTTTATTGGGTATGCACAGTCTTCTAAGGGTTATAAGTTTTATTGTCCAAAACATACGACTAGGATAGTGGAATCAAGAAATGCTAAGTTTCTTGAAGATGACTTGATCAGTGGGAGAGATCGATTTAAGGACTTAGTTCCTTTATTTGATCATGTTGACTCTTGCCCTTCAACGTCATCTAACGGAGTTGTACTTATACGCAATGCGCCTTCAGTCCCGCCTGCGGTTGTGCAACCCATTGTTGAGATTCCACAAGCTGTTGAAACTCAACCATTGGAAGAACAAGTTCAGGACTTACAGCAACCTCCTGAGCTAGACTTTGAGCCAATGGTTGAACCAATACAGGATTTTCAGCAAGATCCTGAACCCGCACAGACCGAAATTGAACCAATCCAAGAACTACATCCAGTTCCTGAAGAGGTAGTTGCGCCACAACCTTCACAAGGTACTGGTGTTCCAACATTAAGACGGTCTACTCGGGTAAAGCGTTCAGCAGTTCCTAGCTATTATGTATCGTATCTACAAGAATCTGACATTGGAGCTGAAAATGATCCCATACGTTTTCACAAGCTACGAATTGTGCACAGTCCGATTTGTGGTTAGAAGCCATGAAAGATGAAATGAATTCCATGAAGAGTAATGGAGTTTGGAACCTTGTTGAGTTACCTAATGGGGCCAAGCCGATTGGCTGTAAATGGGTATTTAAAACCAAAAGAGACTCATTAGGTAACATTGAGAGGTACAAGGCCAGACTCGTTGCTAAGGGATTCACTCAAAAAGAAGGAATTGATTACAAGGAGACCTTTTCTCCTGTATCAAAGAAAGATTCTCTTCGAATCATTCTGGCTTTGGTTGCACACTTTAATCTTGAGTTGCAACAAATGGATGTGAAAACCGCGTTTCTAAATGGTGATCTAGAAGAAGAAGTTTATATGAAACAACCTGAAGGTTTCTCTTCTAGAGGTGGTGAGGATTTGGTGTGTAGGCTTAGGAAGTCCATATACGGTTTAAAACAAGCCTCCCGTCAGTGGTATATTAAGTTTGACGGGGTCATTTCATCATTTGGTTTTGTTGAAAGTCCCTTAGATCCTTGTATATACCAGAAAGTTAGTGGGAGTAAAATCTGTTACCTTGTTTTATATGTGGATGATATCCTACTCGCCACTAATGAGGTGGGGATGCTTCGTGACGTGAAACAGTTCCTTTCCAAAAACTTTGATATGAAAGATATGGGTGAAGCATCTTATGTCATTAGCATAAAGATTCATAGGGATAGGTCCCGGGGCATACTGGGTCTATCGCAGGAAACCTATATTAACAAAGTTTTGGAAAGGTTTCGGATGAAAAACTGTTTACCGAATGTTGCTCCCATTGCAAAAGGGGATAAGTTTAGTTTGGACCAATGTCCTAAGAACGAGTTGGAGACGGAGCGTATGAAGGATGTTCCATATGCTGAAGCGGTTGGATGTCTCGGCTATATTCAAGTTTGTACAAGGCCCGACATTGCCTTTGCCGTTGGTATGTTAGGGCGGTACTTGCATAATCCAGGCTTAGACCACTGGGGAGCTGTGAAGAGAGTTCTGAGGTATCTCCAAGGTACTAAAGATTTCAAGTTGGGTTTTAGGCAGACGGACATCCTCGATGTTGTTGGTTATTCTGATGTGGACTTCGCTGGCTGTGTTGATTCTCGGAGATCGACTTCCGGGTACGTCTTCATATTGGCTGGTGGGGCAATTTCATGGAGAAGTGTTAAACAATCCTTAATAACCACTTCTACCATGGAAGCCGAGTTCGTGTCCTGTTTTGAGGCTACTTCGCAAGGTGTGTGGCTCAAGAATTTCATCTCCGGGCTTAGAATTATGAATTCTATATCTAAGCCACTGAAAGTTTATTGTGACAACTTAGCTGCAGTCTTCCTAACTAAGAACGAAAAATCTAGGAGTCGAAGTAAACACATCGACATCAAGTTCTTAGCCATTAGGGAGCGTGTCAAGAATAAAGTTGTATTCATTGAACACATTAATACTGAGTTGATGCTAGCAGATCCCTTGACTAAAGGCATGCCTCTGTCTAAATTCAAGGATCTGATTCAGAAAATGGGACTTTCGTCCACTTTGTAATTTGTATATACATTCAGTTTAATAATGAAATTCTTTTGCACTTAAGTTTTTTTCTTCAGATACTTCAGACACTTTCTTTGAGTGTGTACACAATTCAGTTTATCTCAATAAGAAAATATACTTCAGTGGACTTGAAATGAACATATGGTTTGTTTCATTAAGTTTGATTACCTAAAGGACTCAATGACAGTTTGCATTTGATCATAATGGATATTACTTGCGCTAAGGAGGACATGTCATTATGGTTGGTGTAAATCTTGTTCTTGGGTTCCGTATTTGCACCAAGTGGGAGAATGTAACGTTTTCCTTATGTATTATCATTATTATTATTATTATTAAGTTTATTATATAATAACAATAATATTTAAGTGGTGCAAATCAATAGGCTGACTAAGTATTAGAACTTAGTCAGCATTAGGTAATTAGTTACCTACATTGATGGGATGTAGGTTATTTAGACTCCCAAGTCCTCTCACTGCTCGGTTAACGTATCATACACCATCTAAAGTCATTGAGAGAAGTGAGAGAAACATAACTAAAACCTACGGAGATGTTACAGCAGCCCGAGGAACCTGCTCATCAGACTACGAGTCCCTGGTGATCAAGATCTAAAGCTATGGCTGGAGGTTGGTAATCTAAATTCTGTTTTAATAGCCACGTATCTATTAATTGTTACGTGGATTGTGTGCTTACAGATATAGGATTTGATTACTTTATAATTACAAAACTAATTACCTAATTTAAATCAGGTATCATTACATTAATTCAGTCTTAACTCTCTTCATTTCATCACCTCTTCACTTCTTCACACGTAAGATCAATATAGAGTCATACATAACTAAACATCAATATTAACAATCATTTTAATTTCACCATACTACCAAAGATGTAAAATACATTATCAAAACTTATTCTAATTATACTAAGTATTTAATTCTTATTTCAATTTGAATTTCTATTCTCATGTTCGAACCAAACATAACCTATAATTATTTTCCCCAATCTTTCATTGACTTCTTCTGTTTAAGACTTATTTAATTGTAAAACTATTATTTTATAAATTTTACTTGTTATAAAATAATATATATCAACCGTATAGATTCTAAATAGAGTGTAATATATAGTAAGTAAAAATGAAATATTTAAAATTTTATTAATAATCTCAAAATAGTCTTGTGATTCTCAGTTTCATGAAGCAAATAAGACTAGATCGAGTAGGGAACAGATAAGTGAATACTACATACACCTTTTATTTTTATCTTCCAATTCGTATATCATTATGTGACATTAGTTAATTGGTTAATAATTTTTTTTTCAATTAATAGTGGGACAATCAGTTTATGGCATCCAATAAATGTTAAGTAAACTTAATATGTTATTGGTTTATATATTTTTAGTTATGTTTTTATCCAAAAATAAATTTGAATATTAAATCTTACATATATACTGAATTCAAAATCAATTTATGACATCTGCGACGGACTCGACTGAAAAGATGTTGATAGTAATCATTTGCCGTGTGACCTTTTGGTATGAGAATCATGCTTAAACTCTCACAATTTTTTTTTTTTAAAGAATATTTTTTTAATGTATAACATATAAAGTGAGATGGTGAGAAGTAACCACGTTGGAAGATTGTAGTCCGTCCAATTCAGCCAAAAGTCGGAGAAATATTGCCGTGAAAAAGAAGTTGTTAGTCACGAGAGGGAGATTTGTGTAATTGCAAATTACAAAATTTATCTCAATTGCATATTACTTGCGGCGTATTTCTCATTATTTTCGTGTTTCTAAACCAAGAAAAATAAATATATATAAATAAAATGTTACAACGTATTATCTTCTAACTTTTTAAAAATTCATCTTTTAATATTTACTTGGATTTGTCATCTCTCATTAAAAGTAGCTTCACTTTGATTCTTGGGGTATACTAGAGTTAGTTAGGTTACGCGCATCAAAGAAGTAGAGTCACTTTGATTCTTGGGGTATACTTTGTCCATACAATGTCTTTATTAAAAAAAATTATTCATTGTCAATAAATTAATTAAGAGAAATAATTTCATTAGTTATATTGTCTTTATTATTCTCAATGTATGTGATGGATTATATGAACCCGGGGGTCCGGATTATACAACCCGTATATATGTTTGAATATGAGAAATAAATAATAAAACGGTAAATATTATATTAATTGAGCATAAAATGCTATTACAGATGTTCGGGACATGTAATAACGTTACAAGTATTGTAAGAAGGTAGAATATAGAAATCAAGTGTCCATTGTTAGGACACGGGGAGGGGTTTTTATATGCTACAAACCTCTAACCGCTCCCCCTAAACTGGGGGATGGTTGGATCTGGCGCTTTGACCGCGTACTAGCTCAGGACCGGGTCCAAAGCGTAGCCCGGGTTACGCAGGAGGAGTCGCACGACTCGGACATCGTGCGGACCCCGTCCCGGCCAAGCTCGGAGCTCGGCCGGGCCGACCCCGCGTAGGCCGACCCGGGGTATCCCTGCCGACCCCGTGGTGGCCGGGCCTACGTAGGTCGACCCCGGGGTGGCCGGGCCTACGTAGGCCGACCCCGGGGTGGCCGGGCCTACGTAGGCCGACCCCGGGGTGCCGAGCCCATGTTGGCCGACCCCGGGGTGGTTCGTCACTCCGTGTGCACAGTAACCGAGCGGACCCCGGGGTGGTTCGTCACTCCGTGTGCACAGTAACCGAGCCGACCCCGGGGTGTCGAGCCCATGTTGGCCGACCCCGGGGTGTCGAACCCATGTTGGCCGACCCCGGGGTGGTTCGTCACTCCGTGTGCATAGTAACCGGGGACCCCGTGGTAGTAGTCGAGGACCCCGGGGAGGTAGACCCCTCCATGGTCTATCCGGCCGCGTGCGTAGTCCACTCGGTGCCGGGTGTGATCTGCTCCATATTTCTTCGCTCCAGGTCTGCTCTGTAATTATTCCATCAGTACGTAACAATTCTTTACATTCAAATTCATCAATTGATTATATCCACTACATTGTCTATTTTTTTTGTGCACTATTTTTTTAATTAAATATCAAAGTTGTAATACAAAATAATGCTATATATTTATTTACCAAGTATTTTATTAATACCATTAAAAAATTAAAAAATATATAATTAATAAAGTCAATCATATTAACTACTTGAGCAATTTGTTGACAAAGAGAGTATTTAAATCACACATCAAATTGAAGTGAGAACTATCACGCAATGTCATTGTTTGACAATCAGCAGTTAGCGGTTAGCGGTTAGCATCAGCGGATTATATTAACGGATTTGACCTGCGAATTATATAACGATTGGTAAAAAGATATTTGAAAAAATTAACTGTTTAGATTAACATGTAAAATGACCTAAGGGTATACATAATAATAATAATAATAATAATAATAATAATAATAATAATAATAATAATAATAATAATAATAATAATAATAATAATAATAATAATAATAATAATAATAATTGTTTTAAGAAAATAGAAAAAATCTAATTAAGCCAATCATATTAACTACTTGGGGGTTTATTGACAAAAAGAGTATTCAAATCACACAACAAATTCAAGTGGGAAACTATCCCCGCAATGTCCTTGTTTAGCAATCAGTAGTTAGCTTTTCAATATTAGTGTATTTAATATTTTATGCCCTAATTTTTATTTGCTCTCCCTTATATCCCGTATTTGGTTTCAATCATACCTATACAATTATTTTATTGACAATTATAATCAATCTTGACTATATTATCTTACATTTGTAAACTTAAAATTACTTATTTAAATACACAAATTCAATATTCAATTATCTATGCATGAACAATTTCGATATAATCTTGCCTTGATATACTTTAAAGTATTTAT